AGACAATAGTCTATTTTTATTTTTCTTGTACATGCACTAAAATACATATATAGCTGGGTGTGGTGGTACATGCCTTTACTTCCAGCACTTAGAAGGCAGAGACAGGAGGATCTTTATGAGTTCAAGGTCAGCCTGATCTACATTCCAGGTCAGCCAGGATGTCATAGAAAGACCCTGTCTCAAAAAAGAAAAAAGTATAATATATGTTTCATTGTTGAATATTTGCTGTGTATTCATTCTTTAAGATAAATGTCAGAATGAACCTTCTTACATACCTTTTGACTAAACTTTGAATAATAACCAGGGATGTATTAGAAATCAAAGAAGACATTTTTTATTACATTTGTTCATTGCGTGTATATGTTTGTGTTTGTGTGCAAGCCAGGGTGTCCATATGGATATCAGAGAACAGCCTGCCAGAGTCTGTTTTCTCCTTCCATTGTGTAAAACCCTGGGATTGAACTCATGTCGTCAGGCTTAGTAATATGTACCTTTACTGGCTTAATCTTCTTGCCAGTCTAGGAATATAACTGTATCATGAAAAACAAAACAAAGCCAAACCAAAAAATAAAAAAAGCCAGGCAGTGATACCTTTAATACCAGCACTTGGGAGGCAGAGACAGGTGGATTTCTGTGAGTTCAAGGCCAGCCTGGTCTACATAATAAGTTCCAGGACAGCCAGTGCTACAGAGAGAAACCCTGTCTCAAAACAAAACACCAGCCATGCTTTGAGATAGAGTGTGTTTAAGACAGAGGAAGCTATTGCTGGCAATACTTCAATCAGGTTCTCTCTAACTGCTGTCTCTGTTCATGCTACTGCGGGGAGGGGGAGATTGGTCCTATCTTTCTGGTATCTCCCTGTAGAGATCATCTTTTTTAAAAATTACAAAACTGCTGCATTCTCACTGCAGTTACTCAAAGATAAAAAGGCCCAACCAGTCCTTTGACCACTTCCCAATTGCAGCAGCCTCGCTGGGATCTTCTTTGGGACTTATCTGGGAGAGAGACACTGTTTCTTCTAAGTTTGAAAAGCATCGGCACATGAGGCATTCATCTTTCCTCGTCATGGAGAATGCTCCAGTCTTATGAAAGAAGGACGATGTAAATACACAGAGCTTCTGAGATAAGGGATGCCTTGGCTGTATCAAGTTCTTGATTCTAATCGAGGTTCACAGCTGTCAACAATGAACCCTTCATGCACGGAGCCCTCCCAGGTACACATGTTCACAATTTCCTTTTGTTGCTTTGGTTTTCATTTCAGCTAGTGTGAGTTGGCTTCTTGTTTGCAACCAAAGGGATCAGAGTAAACATAGTCTCTTTTTTCTCTTGCTAGGGGAAGATACCCCACATAGCCAGTCCCATTCACATGCAAATGTTTCACAGTCATAAACAACCACTATAAAAATAACACATGGAGTTATTATAAAAAGGACACATGGAGTCACCTCCTCACATCACATATTGGTCCCACTCCTGTGATCCTTTTGAGAGTTAGGTCCACATCACATAGCTCCAACCAGAGTCCTGGGATTTCTTCATTTGTGGCTTCCCTACTTTTACTTTAAGAGATCTGTGTGCCCTCTAACTCTCTCAGAGCAAAGGGTGGAAAGAAAATGTATATATCCAAATAAGATATAAAGACAATCTAGGAAGCCTAGGAACATTGCTATACCCTGGCTCCCAACTCCATTGGCTGCGTCTGGAACACACAGGCTGCATCAGTTGGTATTGTGGGACTAGCCACCATATATGTCTTCTGAGAAGTCCTTCAAGCATGGCTGAGGGTCTGGTGAAGAAGGCAGTAGAAGATTCTGGTCTTCTCACCTGCTGCCCCGATATGTGCCAGAGCTTTGCAAACTGTGAGTGACAAGTTTCTACAATCTGAACAAAATCAATGTTGAGTGTTGTCCCTGGCACATTTAAGTGAGAGCAGGTTAGAACCTATATCTAATACTGGCAGGTCCTATTTATGGCACTTGTCTTTTTAATTTAATTTGTGCTTTTTCCACTTTCATACACATATGTGTATATGTGTGAGTGCTGTGTGCATGTGTGCATGGGTGTCTACATATGCACACACACACACACAAGTGGGAGAGAGTGCAAACAGAGAGCAGTCTCTCAATAAAAACCCAGAATTCTTCCATGTGGCTAGTTCTTCTAGAAAGCTTGCTCTGGAGAGCTCATGTCCTTCTGAGCCTGGAATCACGGGAGGGTGCCACACCCACTTGATATTTACATGTATTCTGGGGACCCGAACTTGGGTCTTCACATTTTCGAGGGCTTTAACCACTGAACCATTTCCATGGCTCCAAAACTTGTCTTCTAATATGCAGACATGTGGCTACACACACAAACACACACGGGTGGTCTGTGGTAGATTGCAACATCTTCAATACTGAGAGATGTGGCACAAAAGTTCCAGTGGGGCTGCCTTAACATCAGCCTTTGCTTTTTCTGAATCGCTTCCTCCCTATCTCATTCCAGTTCATCAGCCATTCAGAGGTGGGCTAGCCAACTTTCCACTGGCCAGAGTCTTTACAGCTTCATCAGATGCTGGCTCTTTGTTCTAGTAAATTGACTCCGTCTTTGCAAGCCCCAAAGCAGCCATTGGATAGATGATGATCCATAAACAGGTTTATGTGGTGTGTACCAAAACACTTTTCCAGCGGACTGTGGCTGGATCCACCTAGGTCAGTACACTCCATGATTTACTGAGCTCTGTCTCAGCTCCTGCTTTCTGTTGTCAGGGGACAGCAGAAATACAAGCACATATATATTACATATATGTGTATAATATACAAAACTTTAAGGCACATTTTATACAAATATATAACAAATCTTACCTATTTGAAAAAGTGCAATATAAAAATAGCAATGCAGTCTTGCTTTAAGTGCAAAATTGGAAATAATCTATCCTTACAAAGCAGCTCAGCCAGGCATGGTGGCTCACATCTGCCATCCCAGCACCAGAAAAGCTGGGGCAGGGAGCCTGTCACAAGTTTAAGGCTAGTCTGGGCTACACAGTGAGACTCTGCCTCAAAAAAAAAAAAAAAAAAAAAAAAAAAAAGGTACATAATACTTATTTCATATTACTGGTAGGATTGATTATTATAGTTTATGTAAAGATTTCAGCACCATATTTGACAGGTAGAAAGACATCAGCAAACACGGAAATGCCTCAGTAATGCTGTTAGTAACCTACTGATCATTCTGCCCAAGGCACAGTGGAGGTAGGAGTCCTGTAAATAAAAAATAACAATAATAATAATAATAAAGGAAAGGAGAAGAGAGAGGAGATAGATACTCTCAAAGAAAAGCCTTGATATTCAAAATGGAAAATTTGGTACAAACAGTTCTTATTCCATAGGACTCTGATGAGAATTAGCTCTGCTAATCCACACACAGAGTTCAGCACCACACTTGATAAGTAGAATGCGATCAACAGATGCTCACAGTTATCAGTGATCTCATTAGTAACCCATGAAGCATTCTGCCCTCGGCACAACGGCGGTAGGAGTCTCAATCCACGCCAGCTCATCTGCCATTCAGAGGTTGCCAGCCAATGTTTCCCATGAAGGGTCACAGAGAAAAATACTTTCAGATTCATGAGATGCTGAGTCTCTGTCCCAGTAACTTGATACCATCTTTGTATGCCTACAAACAATCACTGGACAGAAAATTCATAAATGATTTCGTGTGGTATGTACCAAAACCTTCCAACTGGCTGTAGCTAGACCCACCTATGTCTGTACACTTCATGATTTACTGACCTCAGTCCCAGCTCCTGCTTTTTGCTATCAGGAGCTGTTTACACAGAAATGCAAGCACACACACACACACACACACACACACACACACACACACACATGCACGCAAGCACACACACACATTTTATGCTAACATATAAAAATCTTATCTATTTGAAAGAGTGCAATATAAAAATAGCAATGCAGTCTTGCTTTAAGTGCAATATTGGAAATAAACCTTCCTTACAAAGCAGCTCAGCTGGGCATGGTGGCTCACATGTGCCATCCCAGCACCAGAAAAGCTGGGGCAGAAAGACTGTCACAAGCTTGAGGATAGTCAGGGCTACATGGTGAGAACTGCCTCAAAAAAAAAGTAAAATAAAATAAAGTTATGTACATAATCCTCCTTATTTCATATTATTGGTAGGATCGATTAAGTGATGCAGTTCATGTAAAGATTTCAGCACCATATTTGACAGGTAGAAAGACATCAACAAACACGGAAATGCCTCAGTAATGCTGTTAGTAACCTACTGATCATTCTGCCCAAGGCACAGTGGAGGTAGGAGTCCTCTGGGAAGAATAAGAAGAATAATAAAATCAGAAAAATCAGAAGAAGAAGAGTAGGAGAAGGAGAGGAGAACAACAACACTCTTAAAGAAAGCCTTGATTAACAGAAAACTAGGTACATAACAGTTCTTATTTCATAGGACTCAGATGAGAATTAGATCTGCTAATCCACATAAAGAGTTCAGCACCACACTTGTTAGGTAGATAATGATCAACAGATGCTCACAGTTATTAGTGATGTCATCAGTAACCCACTGAACAGATGGAGGTAGGAGTCCTGTGGGTGGACCACTGGCCAATTGGAGATATGAAAGTGCTCCAAATATCACAGGCTCCAACACATTCACAAAACTTACAAAATGCTACATTCTGCTATTAGAAAAAAAAAAAAAAAAAAAAAAAAAAAAAAAAAAAAAAAAAAAAAAAAGCACAAATTCAGTGTCACAAAGCTTTGTCCTATTTTCTCAAGGTCATCCCATAAAAGAATTGTTTGTCATTAAGATCATCTCTGAATGGAGTCTTCCATTGTGTTGAAAATGGTAGCTGTTGATGATGCCCCATAGACACGCTAATTGTTGAAATGTTGGTGCTGTTGATGACACAGCCAATAGATTACATTTAAATGTTTTTTTTTCATGTTGATTCCTTGACATTTAAGCAACTGTGCCTAGTTAGTGGTTACTGTAGCGGCTGGCAGAGAAAATTCTACCTGAATTCTTTCTCAAATTCAAATGCCCAAAGGGCTTTTGTTTGAGAGAGGCCAGATCATTCTGAGTTATCGGAAGGCAAGAAAGTCTGTTTAGTACATTGTAGGATGTTTGACATCATCCTTTGCCTCCATCCATAGATGCAGTTGATAGTAGCACCTGTTGAAAAAGTAACAACAACAAATGTCCCTTTATATTGCACAAATGCTCCAAGTGGGGGAAAGGTTCAAATCAGTCTTTTAGAAAACAACTAAGAAATGAAATGACTGTTCGCTTACATAGTCTCTCTCATTTTGACTTTGTTCCAAAGACCCAAATATGAGTTCTGGATAAAGGTCTTTTATACATCTTCAGGTTTCTTTTTAACATGCTTTTTCTGGTGAAGCAGCAGGGTAGCCAGTTTTTTAAAGGTTCTCCCACACTGGGCACATGGATCTGGCCTATCTCCAGAGTGGATTTTCAAGTGATTATTCAGTGTAGTTTTGTCAGTGAAACCTTTGTCACACTTAGTACACACAAAAGGCTTCTCTCCAGCGTGTAGCCTCTCATGCCTTTGGATGCTTGACTTACATCTAAAAGTCTTGTCACATCCCTTGCACCGATACCTGGAGTCTGCCTCATGTCTCTTCTGGTGCTTCAGAAGGGCTATTTTGCAAGCGAAGACTTTTCCACATTCTGAGCAGTCCACTCGGGCCCCAGGCACATGGATCTGCTTGTGTTCTGACAAGTAAGAGCTGTTTCGGAAGTGCTTCCCACACTTATCACACTTGTAAGGCTTCACCTTTAAATGGAGCCGCTGATGTTCCGAAAGATGTGAGTTGACCCTGAAGGATTTCCCACATACCTGACAGCGGTATGGCTTCTCTCCAGTGTGGATCCTCTTGTGCTCCCTCAGGGATGAGCTGCGGCCAAAGCACTTGTTACATTCTCCACACTTGTAGGGTTTCTCCCCTGTGTGAATCCGCTGATGACGAGTGAGCTTTGTGCTCTGCTTGAAGGTTTTCCCACACTCCTCACATTTGAAAGGTTTCTCTCCTGAGTGGATCCTGCAGTGGTTGTTGAGAGTGGAGCTGCTGTTGAAGGCTTTGCCACACTCCTTACACTTGTAGGGTCTCACTCCTGTGTGAATTCGGTAGTGTGTAAGAAAGTACGAGAGATGCCTGAAAGATTTGCCGCATGTGTCACACTTGTGTGGTTTCTCCCCTGTGTGAATTCTCTCATGCTCCACAAGGTGGAGGGTCTGGTTGAAGGTCTTCCCACATTCCTTACATTTAAAGTGGTTCTTACCTTGTCGGGCAGGCTTGCGCTTTGGGTTTGAGGAGCTGCTGACATTCTGTGTTTTCTCGTGAGAGTCTTTCCCCAAAGTCAACTTTTCTTGAGGGGTACTCTGTGGTGTTGTGGTTGCTGATGTTTGACTCGAAGATGTTCCCGGGGTCACAGATTCATGCTTCTTATGGCCAGGAGTGGTTGTTTTGCCTGCTTCTGTAGTTGAAGTTGAACCACCTTTCTCTTTATTCTGAGATGGTCTGTCATCACACTTTGAGTTCTTTTCTGCCCTCAAACTCTGGGAAACACCCCCTTTATCTGTTTTCTTTGGCTTCTCCAGTGATGTTGTCTTAGAATTGTCTGGCTTCCAGATTTCTGTCTTTGAGTTATTCCCTGTCTTCTTCCCTGAAGAAGATTTAAAGATTTAAATTATAAAAAAAAAAATTGTGTATATGTGTGTGTGTATATATATGTGTATATGAGTACATGCATGTGAGTGCAGATGCCTGTGCAGGCCACTAGAGGGCATCAGATGTCCTGGATCTAGAGTTACAGGCAGTTGAGCTGTGTGACATGGATCCTGAGAGCTGATTCCCGGTCCTTGCAAGAACAATAAACACTCTTAACCACTGAGCCATTTCTCCAGCTCCAGATTTAGAACAGAAACTTCTGTTTCGTGTATGGTTTTATTTTAATAAAAAATATTTACTAATAATTAACATGTACAGAAAGTTTAAAATATAAAATATTAATTTGTCTGGTGTTCACAGATTGAACATATTAGTGCCTATTGTACCAAGGTTAAGATAAGAGGCCATGTAAGCAATCATTTCTACCTCAGCTCTCTCTCATTTTCTTTCTAGTCATTGTCTTCACATTCTTGGAACTTATGGAATGAGGGAGGTACAAGGTGTGCCACAGTTTGCATATGGAAGTTAGCGGCCACCTTGTATAAGCTGGCTCTCTCCTTTCACTTTAGGGGTTCTAGCATCCAACCAAGGCAGACTGTCAGGCTTGGTGGCAAGTGCCCTTACTTGCTGAGCCATCTCCCTGCCCCAACTTTGGCTTCTAACAGTATAAATTAGTTTTGTCTGCTCTTAGATATCTTAAATGCAGCTACAATATGTACTCTTTAGTACCTGGCCTTTTTGTACTTATTTGTGTGAGATTCACCCGCACTATTCTGTATCATGGTTTTCTCTCATTTGCTTTATTTATAATATTTCTTTATATAAACATTGAAATATATTTCACTATTTTTTCACTAATTGGCATTTGCCTAGACCTCAGTTTGAGGCACATTGAATAGAGCACACATTTCTATTATGTCTATATCTGGGACTATAGTTGTTGAGATACTCATATTATATTTGTACAGTTCTGGTAGGTACTGTCTAATGGTTATTTTCTCCTAAAGACCTCTACCAATCAGCATTTCCACCAGATGTCTGTGGGAGTTCTTGATGTTCTATCTCTTAATAACTGAATGCTGTGTCATCCTGCTCAATCCCTACTATCATGCTGCTAATCCCTAAAAGTGGGGGCACTAAGATGTTATTTACTCCATGAGAATGAACCCCTCATGGATGAGAGCATTGTTTTAATAAAGGGCCAGAGATCTTTCTAGATATATTTATATAATGTAAGCACACAAAGAAGGGTGTGAAGCCTACAGTCCAAAAGAATGTTCTCTGTAGGGATCAGTTGGGCTTGTACCCAAAACCTGGACTTTAGAACTACAAAGATACATGTATGTTCTTTATAAGTCACTTGGACCTTTTTTGTCCTAACAAAGCCTAAGACAACATTCCCATAATGTTCCTATTTCATATTTCAATTATTTTAGTAGACAGGTGCTAAAATCACTGTAAATCACAATTTTTCTTAAAAATGATACATAAGGGAGATTAGGTGATGAATATAAAAAAGAAAAAAAAGGGGCAGAAGCAGTTGGATCTCTGTGAGTTGGAGGCCAGCCTGATCTACAAAGTGTGTTCAGGACAGAAAAACTGTCTTGAAAAACAACCAAAAAGAAAAGGCAGACTTGAAAGACAAAAATAAGATATTTTCTCTCATTTGGAGATCCTATATTTCAATTTTCATGTACATGTGTACACATATTTAGAAGTGGACAAACGTGGGACATGAAACTAGAAAGAAGACAAGAGTGGAGGAAGGTTGCAAGGGAGGGGAGGGGAGAAAGGAAGGTGATAGGAAACATGGGGCCATAAATGCAGAAGTGAAGCTGCAGGGAGGAACAAGGGAAATGGGGTAGGACAATTGACAAGAAGAATTATGTCAGAAAATGCCACAACGAAGCCTGTCACTTTGTATGCAAATTTAAAAACAAATGAAAACACTAGGATAGGGAAGTGGAAGCTAGACTAAGAAAGGGTATTGGTGGTTTGCTTTCAGACAGGATCTCACGTTGTGTGGCTCTGGCTATCCTGACTAGGCTGGTCTCCATCTCATGGAGATCATCTGCCTGCCTCTGCTTCCCAAGTGGGATTAAAGGCATGCACAAGGATTGTTATTTTTAAAATTACATTTATTATTTGAGTGTGGATATGGGCATGTGTATGCCTCTACACAACCATGGAGGTCAGAGGACAACTTGTTGATAGTTATTCCCTTTCACCATGTGAGTTTCAGAGATTGCACTCAGGACATCAGTCTTGGAAGCAAGCACCTTTACCCACTGAGCCATCTCACCATCTCCAGATTGCTATTTTTAATGAACACCACTTATTACAAAATGAATTTCTTCATAAATGCATACATTAACTGAGGATGACATAATATGCCTATAATCCCAGCACTTAGATCTGGGGCAGGAGGATTCCAAGAATAAGTCCAGGCTAGGATACATAGCAAGCTTTATCTCATCCTCATCCTAATTGTATATATTATCTTAATAAAAACCATCTATCTGAATTCTTGAGGTCAGAACATGGTGAGTAATGATTATGTGATTCAGAAAAGTACTGTTATTTTTGTAAGTCAACAGAGGGCTGTGAATTAGCAATGATATTTTAAAAGATTAAGGTCAGGTAGAAACCAATCTTCTCAAAAACAATGCTATTAACATCCTTTAAACAATTAAGACACTGAACTACAGACAAAGAGGAAAGTTAGGGGTTGGGGAGATATCTCACTGGGAAAGAGTACTTCATCTGCAAGCATGAGGAACTGAGTTCAAATCCTCAGCACCCACTAAAAATCCAGGCATAGCTATATGTCTATAATCCTATCATTAGTGAGTAAAGCCAGATGGATTCTAAGAATTCACTAGCTGAGTAGCCTAGCCAAAAAGATTAGTTTCTGGTTCAGTAAGAGACTTTGTCTTAGAAAAAAAAGATGGAGAGACATGGAGGAAGACATCTGATATCTTGTTCTAGCCTCCACGTGTACCCAGATCCTCATGTGGGCAACACATACACACAAATAAAAAGCAAAATGTTCCGGTAGGAGCAATAACTGAAAAACAGTGGAGAATTGTCATTTGAGGACAAGAGGTCCAGAATAAAGGTCTCAAGTCAGGTTGTCTCTGTCACCTGCAACCGCAGGGAACATGGGAGAGGGAGGAAGTACAGTGCTACACTGGTGAGTGCAAATATCTCTGGTGTTGGCAGAAAGATGAACTTTGCCTCAAATGAATCAAGCTCTGCAGTCACCCTGTCACCGCCCCCCCCAATGATGGAGGACAGGAATGATAGCTCACAGAGATATTGCAATGTCCCTGTGACTCACCTGCAGCGGTGTCACTTCTGCTGACTCCTGCCGCACCTTGCTGGGGCTCTCCAGGAACATCATTCTCTTTGGAAAAAAGGTCAACTCCTTGTTCCAACCTGGTGATCAGCTTTGGCTTGAAAATATAATATTCTGTTCCACAGAAGAAGAACAACAACAAGGAAAAAAACTTTTGCATAGCTCCCAGGAATCCCTTATCAAAACAAATGTTTGCATAGGAAGGAAAGAGCTAAGAAATTTTTTTCAAAGAACAGCCAACTGGAATTTGGAGGCAATCACATCCTTAGCCTTGTTCCACTACTACCTCCCCATCATGCTAATCCAAGAAACTGAGCTCACAACCGTAGTAGCCAACGAGCCCATTCTGGAACCCTGTTGTCTTAACTGGGCTCCTGTGACTTCAGCCAGACCAGTCAAAGAAGGTGAGGAAATGAGTGAGAAGAGGGGCCCATCCATTCCTAACACATTCCACCATTTTTTCCCTGGGTATGAGTTAAAAACTAAGCTTCTGAAGTGGAGGAGGGATGGTTGTTGAAAGTGCCAGTCTTAGGATGATGCCAATGGCATCCAATTTGCAGTGTCTGAATTTAGTCTTCTGGCAAGAGTTCATGCATATGAACCACAGCCTCTCAAAAGTGAGACCCACAGGCTCTCATGAGACCAGAACAAAGAGTAAGGAGATCATCCTTACCTACAGAGATCAGGTTCCCGTAGTTCTCCAGCATCACATCCTTGTACAGGTCCTTCTGAGCGGGCTCCAGTAGCTGCCACTCTTTCTGGCTGAAGTACACAGCTACATCTTTGAAGATCACTGGTTCCTATAACACCAAAGTCCCACTCCCGCTCATACGAGGCCTCGTCTTTCCCTTGGCCCAGGAAAGGAGATGCAAAGAGGTGGGAGTTTGGGCTGTATTCAGAATTCTATACCAACGTTGCAGACTTCGAAGATGGCCCTGGTACCTCCTCACTTTGCATTAGGTCCATACCATTTGTGTGTGTTTGTGTGTATGTTTGTGTGTATGTGTTTTAATGTGTATGTGTGTAATGTGTATGTCTATGTGGTTTGTGTCATGTGTGTGCAGGTGCTTGCAAAGGCCAGAAAAGGATGTCAGATCTCCTGGAACTGGAGTCATAGGCCATTGTGAGCTGTCTAATGTATGTGCAGGGAACCAAATTCAGGTCCTCTTCAAGAGAAGCAAGTGGTCTTAACTGATGACCATTTGTTTTAATTGTTAACTTGGCAAGGATTAGAATCACCCACAGAGAGAGTCTCAGTGAGGAACTGTCTAGATCAGGTCAGTCTGTGTGGGAAAGGGTTATCTTAATTGAGTCCATTAGGACCAGAAGATGCAGCCTGATCATAGGTGTAGCATTTCATAGTTTTGGCTCTGGACAGTGTAAGAGGAGAGAAATCTAGCTGAGTGCTAAGCAAGCAGGCAGCACAGGTGCATTCCTGTCTCTGCTCTTGACTGTGGGTGCCCTGACTTCCCCACAGCAGTAGACTGTGACCTGGAACTATAAGCCAAGTAAAGCCTCCCCTTCTTTTATCAATAGAGTTGGAACTAGGAATGTGTGACCATGCATTGTGTTCCTATTCTGAACCCAGGCTTGGCTGATGGGATATTGGAAACCCGTGAGGTAAGAAAAAGCATTAAAATGTTCAATAATCAGGGGCTGGAGAGACGGCTTCTTGATTAAGAGCGGGTACTGGAAAGCACCCTTACTCAATGAGCCATCTTGCTGGCCCCGTATTTGCTTTTAGAAGGACCAAAGAAAAGGACCTTTCTTTCTTAGACTCCATTTCCTTTGGTTCAGATTGTGAATTGCACTGGGGTGAACCCACCTCAGCTTCCTAAGAAAGAACAAGATCAAAGGTCCTTGGTTTGGCCAGCCCACTAATGCTCACACACAGACTAACACATAAGGACAGCAGCAACATTCTACTCAAACACCTCACATGGCCACAGCCAAATGTATGTCATTTGAGAGCACCCAGGGCAGAGCAGGGAGGAGGGGCCTGGACATGGCCTCGGGAGCATCCCAATGAGGCATGATGGGTGCTAGGAGAGCATCATGCCCAGGAGACCTTTCCATGTGCTTGAAAGAGTAGATAACAGTTGGAGCTCCAGTGCTGAGGAGAAGGCAGAGAAGGCAGAGCAGAGCAGGTCACTCGGGGTGAACACCGAAGGAAAACAGCTTCAAGAGGAAAGAACAGAGAAGGAAATGGAGAAGTTTAGCACTGTGTTAGAGTGAGCACTGTACAGTTCCAGGGCTGAGGTATGTGGAGTCAGGGCCAGGGCCTTGGGCTTGAGGTCCCCTAACCACCAAAGAGCTGGGGGTCCTCAAGTGAGTGACTTCCCATGCCTCTGATTCCACATCTGTGAGATGCGAAGACTGACTGACAGTACAGTTCAGTCTCCAGCACTAAAAATCATTATTGTCCTTAAGAAACACAGAGTGGAGTATTAAGAGGCGGGCGCTCTGTGCTCAATGGCTTTGAGAATAAGTATGCAGAGAGGGGGGCAATGGGAGAAATGTCAGTAAACTACCTTTTAAATGATGGTCTCTGTGCATGTGTGCGCATCTGTGTGATATGTCTGTGTGGTGTATGTGTACGGAGGATATGTGTATGTGGTGTATATATATGTAGGTATGTATTCTTGTGTAGTAAATGCGTATGTATGCACGGTGGCTATGTGTGTATGTGTGTATAGTGAGTACTCGTATGTGCTTACGTATGTGTCCAATGTATAAGTGTATGTATACGTATGAGTGTAGTCTGGATATGTGTATGTATGTGTGTGTGTGAATGTGTAGTATGTGTATTCATGTATGTGTGTGTGTATATATGTATTGGGGTATGTGTATATATATGTGCATATATGTGTATGTGGGTATGCGTATAGTGTTTGTGTGTATGTGTATAGTGTGTATGTATATGTGTATATGTGTATAATCTCTGTGTGTGTGTTGTATGTGTATATGTATGTATATAGTGGATATGTATCTATGACTGTATATGTGTGTGATGTATATGTGTGTATATATGGTGTGTATGTGTGCATGTGTGTGTATGTGGGTGTATATATGTACGTGTATATATATGTGGGTGTGTATATATATGTATGTATATATGTATGTGTGTACATGTGTGTGTGTCTCTGTATGTGCATTGTGTGTGTGTGTTGCTGCTGTTGCTAATAGAAAAGACGGTCCAGTCCTCCAGTTGCTGAGTGGAAGCCCATGTGAGCCTCCAGGCACTTCAGACTTGCTGATGGCTGCCCATCTCTCCCCATCTCTCCTCTGGAACTCTCATTTGCCACAGTGCCCCTCCAGGATTCTGTCCCAGCACTTTAAGCAACCCTGAGGTCAACAAAAGTTTCAAGACCAGTTCTCACTGGTTAGGACTGAGTCACACGCCCAGCTTTGAATCAATCGCTATGGCCCTGAGCAAGCCTGGAAGTGGGGCGAGGTAAAGACCAACCTCTCCCTACATCACCCTGTCCAAGGCCCAGGGAACACTGTAGAAGAGGGAGGTGGAAAGAATGTAAGAGCTGGAGGATGAAGAGGAGTGCTGTGAAATGCTGTCTTCTGGACATGACATGGTCGATGCACTCATGAACACACAGCAGCTGTGGGTACCTGCGCAAGAGTAGGTCCATCAACATCCCATAATTACAGGGGGGAGGGGATCATGAGGCCCCACCTGTCTCTTAGGAACTATTGGTGGCTAATGTTTGCCAGGGGAGGGGAATGCCATTTTCTTCAGTAGTGTAACCACTGCTAAATTTCCCACAGTCCAGTAAATAATCCCACACCCATGCTAAAGCAAACAACCTTAATTACATTCATGGGCCAAAAAAGAAAGACAGAAAAATAGAAGGAAGGAAGGTTCTAGACGAAGGAGTAGGAATGGGAGAGGGGTGAGAGAAGACAATGGGTGTGTGTGTGTGTGTGTGTGTGTGTGTGTGTGTGTGGATAGGCTCATGATACACTCTATACATGTGTGAACTTGTCACAGAAAATGATGTTACATTAAAGAATTGGAAAACATAATTAACGTCATTAACTTAAAAGAATTGAAAGAAAATATCAGCTTTACCCAAGGTGATTCAAAGACAAGGCATCCCCAAATAGAAATTTGAAATGCCAGCATAAGAAGGAGGTATGGATTCTAAGTGGACTATTCCAAGGCTTGAATGTCTCAGAAGAGCCATTCACTAATTCATTCCTTCATCCATGTGCTCATTCATTGTTCATTCACTCATACAGCCCATAGATATAAAGTGCTTGTTAAAATCCAGACCAGACTGCTGCTCAGGCTAGGTGGGCCTACAATGGCCTCTTTCTTCTGTAAAGGAAAGAGCAAGCCCCCACTGAGGGGGTGCCTGTCTGTGAATGTCTAACCAAGTGCCCAGAATGTCTCCAGGTGCCCAGATTCCAGGAGAACGGCAGGTATCGTTCTTATGTCCCCAAGGAAGTTCATAGGTCTCAGGCTGCCAGACTAACGAAAGCCACATCAGAAGGCTATGAGTATAACAGATACAAATCTACTGCACGCGCCCTGTTGGCTCACATTCTAGTAGTCCCACATTCCTCCTCAGAGCTCCCTTCTCTTCCGCTGCCACATGGATGCAGGCTCATGCAGAATAACTTCTCTACTCTGCCTCTCAGGTCTGAACCTTCTCAGAGGCCCTGCCATGCTGCTATCTATCTATCCACAGTGCGAATAAACCTTTTACCTCCAAAGGACAATACACTTTAGTATTTAGTAACCCTAACCCTAACCCTAACCCTAACCCTGGGCACAGGGGATATGTCAGCCAGTCAATAGAAGGCATCGTCCCTGTCCTCGCAGATGCACAAGAGCAGACAGTTGATGAACAAGTTAAAAATATAATAAAGTGATAGATGGCAATGACAGCTCTAAAGAAAATGAAGCAAGGGCTGGAGAGATAACTAGGTGATTAAGAGTGCTCCCTGCTCTTGCAGATAATCAGAGTTCAATTCCCAATACTAATGCCTAGCAGCTCACAACCACCTGTAACTCAAGCTCGAGGTGGTCTGGCGCCCTCTTCTGGCTTCCAGGGCATTGCATTCAAATGCACATATATATACACACATACACATAATTAAAATAATCTTAAGGAAAGAGAAGGAAGAAAATTGTGAAGTTGGCGTCATCCTATCAGAGATGGGAACTGAGAAAGGGGGAGCATCTCTTAGAAAAATCCCCAATGGGGTGGTCCTTTGAAAGTACAATGTATGGGGTAAAAAGGGGGGGATGCCCTTACCTTCTCCAGACCAACCTAGTTTCTGGTCAAAGGGAAAAACCAGCAACTTACCTTGTACCAAGTTGGCAGCGATGTGGTTGGGATTCTTTGCTTCTTTTCAGAGAGCTGGTTTTGTGTCTGATCAGGATTTGGTGAAGGTGAGGCTGGTGGAAGAGGAAGGAGTCATGAGGCCATTCAGGCTTTTAAGAGTAGGGAAACCCATTCATAATAAATGCTCCATGAGGGGCACAACTGACAAGCACTGCCATGTGCTGCACACTGTACTCCATCCCAGGCAGGCATCTGATTGTTCAGAGAAACCCCTGAGTGGTACCTGTGGGCGACCACATGTGTGGAAAAGTGTGCATAGATACATAGTAATGAATACACAAATAGTTGGTTATGAATGTAACACTTTCCGGATAGCACTAGTCCAGGGAAAACACAGGTTGCTGAGGAAGGAGAGGTAATACTACTTTTAATTGTGACGTCTTCTGTACATTAGACACTGTTGTGCCAGGCCAACAGGATGGCATAGAAGGTAAGAGGCATCTGCTTCTAAGCCTGGGGCCCACATGGTGAAAGGACAGAAGTGAATTCAGAAAGTCATCCTCTGACCTCCATCATTCATATACATGATGGATACATTAAAAAAAAAAAAGTTAAGAAAAAAAAGTTAAGAAAGTTTGTACCTGTTGATCCCAAACATTTGGCTCTGAAAGTGCTCTGCCAATTCAGAGATGCACCGAAGAATTACCCAAAAAACACCTATTCACATAAATCTACAAGTTGTCTTTGTCAAGGTGTTTTATCACAGCAATAGACAACCAAAGTAGTACCCCAAGAGGATTCTAGCACTAATATTTGTGGGAAGAGGGGGTCTCAAGTCTAAAGCCAGGCCTAGGAGGTTCCCTCCTACCCAAACCTACATTTTCCTAAACTGTTGTGTCTCTTACCTTCACTAACTGGAGTTTTACTCTTCTCCTCTGGGTTCCTCTTTCTCTTCATGGTGAGAGAATAAAGTACTGTGTGAAATATAGGTAGGATTACTAGGAGAGGGATGTGGAGCCAGGTGGTCTGGGTTTAAATTCTTAGCTCTGCAGCTTGGAGGCCTCGGGCAGGGGATGTGATGTCATCAGGCTCCATGTCCCTAATAGGAAAGCAATGTCAGTGAAGCTTCTCTCTCAGAAGGTCAATGAGATGATCAGTAGAGAAGGCCCGCTATCTGTCAAGCTTGACAAGGGTGAAGCCATGGGCCATGGGATCTGGAGCTCAGGTGTGGTCGTATTTCTTTTTAAAGTATCTTTTAAAATTTTATCTTAATTTTATTTATTTTACATCCCAACTGCAGTTTCTCCTCCCTCCTCTCCTCTCAGCCCTTCACACACACCCCCACACCCACACACACATATACACACACACACACACCCATACACACACACATACACACACACACCCACTCACCCACCCACCCACCCACCCATACACACACACACCCATACACACACACACCCATACACACACAACTCCTCCCTCATCCACTCCTCCCCCTTGTTTCTTCAGAAAAGGGCTGGCCTTGATAGCTATCAACCAGCCATGATAAACCAAATTGCAGTAAGACTAGGCACATTCTCTTCTATTAAGGATAGACAAGGCAACCCAATAAGGGTAAAGGGTCCCAAAGGCAGCCAATGGATTTAGAGCAGCTCCTCCCATAAGAACATCAATAAAGTTTAAGCATCTGTTTTTTTTTTTTTTTTTTTTTTTTTTTTTTTTTTTGAGGGGAGCCACAGCACTCATGTGGAGTCAGTGTCCTGGGACTTAGGTCAGGCTTGGCAGCAAATGACTCTACCCACCAAGCCATCCTGATGGTCCTATGAGGGTCCTTTTTAAGAAAAAGTGGAAGGGGACTAGTGAGCTGGCTCGGAAGGTAAAAGCTCATGGCACCAAGCTTGAAGACATAAGATTCATACCAGGAGCTTATGTGGTGAGAAAGAACTGACTCCTGCAAGGTGCACTCTAACCCCTTCGTGTAAAGGAGTGTGCGTGGGTGTGTGCACACGCACACACACACCACAAACAAATAAATAAATGTTGAAGAGAAAAAGAGATAGAGAAAGGTGGAAGCCTGGTGGTGCAGCTCTTAGCTAGTGGGGAGGCAGAAACAAGAGGATCCCAGGTTCAAGGCCTGCCTGGGTCACATTAAAGGGCAGAAAAAGTTGTGTGAAATCTGCTGCTACCAACATGAAATCTTTCATCACACCTAGCCAACACGAGAGCCAGGAAGTTATAAGAGAGGGAGAACTGGGGGCTGGAGACATGGCTTAGCAGCCATTTACTCATCCAGAGGACCTGAATTCAGTTCCCACAACCCACACAGTAGCCCTGGCAGAGCTGAGGCCCCTTCCGGTCTACACAGGTGCGGTATGCGTGTGATACACATACACACATGCAGGCACAGCTACTTATGCACATAAAGGAACAAATACATTTTAAAAGCAAGAATACATGGCTGATGGCTGGGGTGAGCACTTTCCAGATGATTTTCTGAAGCCTCATGAGAAATTCCTTCTTGACCTACACACCTCCCCACCTCAGGCTTCACACGCCTTGCATCTGTGCACGTTTGTGTAAGGAATTCTACCTTCAGCATACTGACATGCTCTGATGGAATACTTTTCTACAGCAACTTCCCACCAAGGAGCTGATGCCAATTGCTCCTTCAGGTCTCAAAACCATTGAGTTCTGTGTGCAAGCAGCATCCATCAATTTCTCCCTTTTCTCTCCCTCTGTGTCCCTCTGTCCTGTCTGTCTGTCTTTGTCTCCCTGTCTCTCCTTGTCTCTCTCTGTCTGTGTGTGTCTGTGTTCATGTACATGCAATACCCACCAACGGTATTCCATGGAGCTGGAGTCACAGGCATTTGTGATGCTCCCATTTGTGGGAACAGGGAAAGATCCTCTGCAAGAGAAGAAAGTACTCTTAACTGATGAGCCTTCTCTCAGCCCCCCAATCTCTCCTGTTTTTCCTTTTACCTCAGCCTTGAACATGCCCAGAATTTACCTCGGCAGGTTGCATTCTCACAGAAATAGCATCTCTCCTTAGGGATTCTCTCAGATTGCTTCTGAGAGTGATCATTATGAGTGTAAAAGTGCTGAGGGAAAAATCTCAGCTATAAATCACATCCTACCTCTAGTGCCTAGCATACAGCCAGCGCTCAGTAAAGACAGATCTTATAAGTATCCAATTCTCACACTGTTTTAATCCTGTTCTAAAGTGAGGAATTCAAAAGCCCAGGTCCATATACCAGCTCTGTCCCCAGCCCTCCCCAGACCCACACAGGGACTTAATGGACAACATGCTGCGTTAATGGTATCAAGAGAGTAGAAACTTAATCTGCCCACAGTGTTTAACATGGGGCCTCCAGGGGAATGATTCGATTTTAGTAGTGCCCCCACCGTGTAATCCTTTCTCCGTTTTTTTTGGTAATATTTATTTGTTTGTTTGTTTACTTTGTGTGGGAGGTGTGTGTGTGTGTCCACTGAGTGAGGAGTTGGTTCTCTCCTTTTACCATGTGGGTCTCAGGGATTGAACTCAGGCCATCACACCTTTATCCACTGAGCCATTTTGCTAGCTCATGCAAGAAGAGGGAGAGAGACTGCACACACATTCCCACCAGGAGGCAGTGCAGCCAAGCAGGACCTTGCTGAGGGCCTGACAATGTATATATTTTTTACTTTTAGACTCCGAACTTGTGAGTTCAATGGTCCTTTATTTATAGAGTATTTAGGGTGTTTTTCCTTTTTGCTTGTGTATGTGCATGCATGGTGGGGTAGCTGCACACGGAGGGAGTCCATGTGCCTATATTTGTGTACGGAGCCCTAAGGTTGATATCAGGCATCTTCCTGGATTCTTCTCTACCTAATGTATTGAAGCTGGGGCTTTCAGTAACCCCTAGTCAGGCTAGCCAGTTTTCTCCAAGGATTTTGTCTCCTCTTCCCTTGCATGGGGATTAGAGGTAGGCCACCCTACTGCACCTTGCCTTTATGTGGGCTCAGAGGCTCTGAATTCAAATCCTCATGTTTACACAGCAAGTGACTTACCTGCTTGACTATTTCCCCAGTAACTCTCTGATGCCACACCTCCATCCCTCCAAACACGCACACGCATACACACATTAACTCTTTTTTTTTTTTTTTTTTTTCTGTAAGACAGAATCTCATGTATGGCAGCTTGGCCTTGAATTAGATCTATATCCCAAGATGACCTTGAATTTCTGATTCTCTTGCCGTCACTGCCCTTGAGCTGGGAATGTAAGCACGCTCCACCATGCTCGATTTATTCAGTACTAGCTTCCTGGATGGTAGGCAAGCGCTCTCCCAGCCGAGCTACACCCCAGCCTGCATGCAATAGCAGAAAGGAGAAATATTTATGCACCTGGACTTTGGGCAAATGACCATTCTTCCTAGATTCTGTAGACTCTGAATAGGGGTGCTATACCTGCTTTACAGGACCCCTCTGAAGATAGCTGGTTCCATGTACCCCTCAACACACGGCACATGGAGAAGCCAGCTCTGTAAAAGTAAGGGTGGTCAAAAAAATGTCTATGCTTTGAGCTCCCACTCTCCCCCAAGTATTGCAAGCCAGAAGACACCACGGTGAGCTGTGTATGCAAGTCCTTTTTCCAGGGATGAAGGGGGATTTTCATCTAACCATTCTTAGCTGTGAGACATTAGGGACTAGGTTGCCAGGACTGATAAATAAAAATATGTGGAACACAGTACAAATAACTTTCAGATAAGCAAAGAATAATTTTCAGCTATAGGAACATCTCAAATACTACCTGGGGCATGCCTATCCAAATATATGTGTGTGTGTGTGTGTGTGTGTGTGTGTGTGTGTGTGTGTGTGTGTGTGTGTATGTGTGTGTGTGTGTGTGTGGCAGGTGAGGGGAGCCATCACATGTGTATGCATGTGCATGCAGAAGCCAGAGGTCTACCTCAAGTGTCATTCCTCAGGAGCAAGTCCACCGTGTTTTTTGACATAGGGTCTCTTACTGCAATCTAGCATCCACTTACTGAGCTAGACTTGCTGGCCAAGGAATAAGTAGCGGGGACCCTCTCAGCTACTCCTCTCTAGGGTTGGGGTTACATGCCTGGCATTTTATGTGGGTAGAACTCAGATTCTCATTTGCATGGCAGGCTCTCTATTGCCTGCGTTATGCCCCAGCCCCAAAGAACTATTTTCTAGATGTATTTAATAACTAGCTCTCTCTCTCTCTCATATGTTGTTCAGCCTTTTCATATTTTTCACTCAAAGACAAAACAAACAGACAAAACACAAGAAAAAAAATGGATTGAGGAGGTCAGGGAAATGGCACTGATAGCGTAAAAGGGCTTGCCATGGAAGCCTGATAACCTGAGCTTAGATCCCACAAGGCAGGTAAAAAGGTTGGCATAAGCGGCTCCAGTCTGTTTTCCCAACATTCCAAGAGTGAGAGGAAAGACAGAGTCAGGGAGACTCCAGGAAGACCCAAGTCCGGCTGCTTAGGACACACAGGGCAGCCGGCAAAAGAGGCTGTCTCCAAAACAGGATGGAGAGTGAAGAGGACACCTGAAGTGTCCTCCTCCAACCTCCACATGAGTGACACAGAATGTGCAGGCCCTTACACACATACGCTCACGTACAAGTGTCCATTTGGGCACCTGGGTGCATGTGCGCGCACACACACACAATCAAACACACAAATAAATAAATATTTTTAAATGATTAACTATGAAGATTTAAGAACTGGGCAGAAGGCTGTGGTTAATGGCAACTACCGCTCTTGCAGAGGTCCCGAGTTTGTTCCCAGTATCCACGTTGAATGGCTCACAACTGCCCATAACTACAGTTCTAGGGAGATCTGACATGTGTGAATGCTTGTACTCATATATGCACAGACCTCCCCCCTCACACACATATACACATCATTTAAAAGTAAAAAATAAATGCTTTTTTAAAATACAAAGATCTACTGCTTCATAAACATCAAGTAATGTTTGAACAGTGCCCAAGAGGGAGTAGATGCTTCTCGTGCACTGGTTTCAATTTTAGTGCTACTAGAGCCTCAAGGTCCAGGGATTTCTCCCTTCTCAGTTTCCCCTGCACTATGTACCTATGTTCAAGGTCTTCAACAGGTACACGTGTGGCTACACTCTTCCCCTAGCATTCCTTCCCTGTGAGTGCAACCTCCAGGAAAAAGCAAACTGAAGAAGAACATCTGTGGGCCACAGAAGAAACATAAAGGGCTCAGTACGCATGGCCTGTGGCTGGGCAGCAGGGGCCAGGCTTTGCCAGGCACACATTGTCCCCTAACATGTGATCCCCTTTACAGACTGCCATGCACTTTGCTACTCAGAATGACATACTTTGTTGTTTTCATAATGATGCTCTTTTGAGAATTTGTAGCCACCACACAAGAGTGGGGTTGCCAGTAGCCCTCCTGGGTTAGGGTGACGTTCGTGGGCTCCCATCCATCCTTACTGAACTACTGCAACTGATGGATTCTGAGGGAGAAACAGTCATTGCCTTCAGTTGCGTACCAAATGGGTAAGTCCACCAGGCTCCAGTAAATTGTTTCCAACCTGCAGCCACATAGTTGACACTGGTTAAAATCAGTGGGTCACAAAACAAAAAGGCCTAAATGTGGGAAAATGATCTGTTTTGGGGTGGGGATGGTGGATGCAGGGGTGGGAGAGACAGAAGAAGATGGGGAGCGGGAATAAACATGCATTATAGACATCTGTGAGAATATCAAAGAATAAACACAACTAACAATAGTAGTAGTAGCAATAACAGCAACAATAAAAATGGAATCGACAAACATATCCTCTGCTATGCAGATTTGTTTTTTTTTTTTTAAGACACTAAAAATCATGGCAGATTCTCATGCTGATATAACTTCAAACTTGGGAAAAATTCAACCACATTTTAGCTGTCAGGAACACATTTTTCAGAGAAAAACTCAGGACACCTCAGCACACAGACACAAATTTATCTGCACAGCTACATGCCACTGAAATGGAGGAATCTGCCCATCAGGCTATCTGTAAATGCTGAGACCTCACCAGGCGTACTTGGGTGTGGACAGACACACACACCATCTATAGAAGAATTTCTAGAACTCCTGGTCACCCTTCTGACAGAGACCTCTCCGACTGACTCTAAGGCTGACCTCAGTCTCACTTGGGGTCCAGTGGTATCCACCCCAGCAGTGATGCTCCCTGCCCTCCACCACAACTGGCACCAATGCATACTTACTTGCTGTGGATGTTCAAAATCTTTCCCAAGCATCCTTCTCTCCCAGGAATCTTCATACATGTCCTATGTACAACCCCAAATACCTCCTGAACTCCCCCATTGTTCCATAGTTAGCCTAACCCCCAAAGGGCCTCTCTCTAAAATCATCGCAGGAAGACCCAACAAATCAAGTGACTAAAAATCAAATCAAGTGGTTTCTCTAGTTCCCAACTGACCATTCTAGAGTGTAGGAAGCCTCCTCTCATTTCCTCCTGGTCCATTAGACTAAGATGCCTCAAGGGCTTCTAGATCCTTCTTCATAAAGCCTGGGTGTGTGCCCTGAAGAGTGAACCACGATGATCTCCTCTGAGCCAACTCTAGTTTACTCTACTTTTGTGTTTTCTCCTCTCCTCATGGTGTCTAGAGACATACAGGAATTTGCTGGTTCTGTGGCTCAGAAAATTCCCAATCTGCAGCCCTGCTTACCCTTCCCCAGGCCCTGTAATCTTCCTTGTGCCCCGAAGCCAGCAGGCACATTCTAGGAAGTAGGAAAGACACCTCTATCTGGTCTCTTCCACTGTGTTGTAGCCACTCTGATGCCCCAGTCCTGAAACAGTTCATTCCGGCTGAACTGGGACTGTCGTCCGGGCTTGGGTTGAAATTATCCAAGGTTTCATGCTGGGCACAGGCCACTAGGTAGGGGAGAAATGACTTGCCTAGTGCAACCTTGCCACGAGTGCCCACAGGTTTAGCTAATAGACATCCAGATAGTGCACCAATGTGCTAGTGACCAAACTTATTGATTACATAGAGCAGCTCCTATATGCACAAACTGTCACCCTAACCTACATATAAGCAAACACTCAAATGCATACAGATGCATCCAATGTTACAGAATCAGTTTGCATACAAATCAGCAAGATGCAACTCACTATTCACAAACCCAGAGCATGTATATTTCCACAGTTGAGCCCCCACTCCTTCAACCATACCTACACATCCGAACCATACCACAGATAGAAATACATCCTAAAATCTACACAAACACCCTCTTCCAGGCACACTGTGAACTCACAATCTGGGACCAGCTAGGTGGCTCAGCTGGTAAAGGCGATTGTTGCCAAGCCTGACAACCTGAGTTCCATCGCCGGGACTCACATGGTAGGAGAGAAATGACTCCTGCAAGTTGTCCAAAG